AAAACAAAATCAGGTTAAAATTATCTTATATTAAGCTAGTAAACTCTGAGAACTGGATATAATGTATTCTACCCTCCTCACTTTTCAAGCCAGTCACCATGTCTTGCTGTTTCACATGACCCCCCCCCCCCCAAAAAAAAACCCATAGCCCAGACCCTCATGATCTGTAAATGACTTTCTTCTTTTGTGGTCCCATCATCAGTAGCACTAGTCATCACCTGAGAATTTAGCAGAAATGTAAATTCTCCCTGCGTGGTGGTGGCGCATGCCTTTAATCCCAACACTCGGGAGGCAGAAGAGTTCGACGCCAGTCTGGTCTACAAGAGCTAGTTCCAGGACAGGCTCCAAAGGTACAGAGAAATCCTGTCTCGAAAAACCACAAAAAAAAAAAAAAAGAAAGAAAGAAAGAAAGGAAGAAAGAAAAGAAAGGTAAATTTTCAGACTGCCCTTACCTATGAAGTAGAAACTCCAGGGTGGTGTCTAGAAACATTTACAATTCCCAGGAAGTCCTAAAGCGTTGGAAAGCTACTGTCTGAGTGACCTCCAAAAGCTTCTGTACTCCTAAGCATACACAGAGAAATGGGAAGCCATGTTTCTGTTTGCCTGCAAGACTGCAGTGACACTTTAGACTACAGGGTCAAAGTATAATCTCATAAAAATACACAAAGGCCATCAAGATTTAGTTTCTACTGACTGGTTTTTCAAGACTAGAGTAAGTCAGGTTAGTAAGAATGTATCATAAAGCAGTGACTTAAGGGAATGAGCTGTGGACTCCTATGCCTGGGGTTCAAATCTTCCCTGGATCCTCTCTGTAAGTAGACTGCCTTAGGGAGCCACTTCTTGTCCCTACCACTGGCAGAGAGTAACGATGACTTCCACATCAAAAAACCGTGTTGAAATTAACATACCAGAAACAGCCTGAACTCTGTACAGATAGTTTTATTAGCAGTCTAATTTGGTCATCTGAAAAGGGAGGATGCCCCCCAGCTTTTTTTTGAGACAGTGTCATATATAACCCAGGCTCACCCCCAATTCATGGATGCTAGACAAAAGCTAAAAATATCCAGATTCTCAAGAACAGGTTTTGTGGTTTCAAGAGCTCTTGGAGGTGGGGTGTTGTGCCTATAGTCAGAATGTAAGAAGTTACAAGATTGCTATCAGAGGAGTGTGTAAGTCAGGTAAGCTGTGAAGGAAATAAGAGAACTTGTCAAGCACAGAAAAGCAGCAAACACAGAGTAGATGCCACGTATGCTTCTCTGGTGACAGTTAGTAAAGTTAGTTACCAGGTGACTGACAGTCCTGATACCTGATCTGCACTTCAGAATGTTGGACAAGAAGCCGGGCGGTGGTGGCGCACGCCTTTAATCCCAGCACTTGGGAGGCAGAGGCAGGCGGATCTTTGTGAGTTCGAGACCAGCCTGGTCTACAAGAATGAGGAGTTCCAGGACAGGCTCCAAAACCACAGAGAAACCCTGTCTCGAAAAACCAAAAAAAAAAAAAAAGAATGTTGGACAAGAACAAAGGCTTTGAGCAAACGTCCTTAAACCTTCATCACAAACCAATTAACATCTTGGGAAAATTGGTTCCTGCCTTAATCTCATAGCCTATCACATTATAAAAATTATCATACATATTTACAACACTATAGTGTGAGCATGGGTAAGTGCTGGATACATTGCAGCTGTTACTGGTGCATCAGCATGACTCCTAATACATGAAAGTAGCCCCTCCAGAAACGCCTGCTTGAGCAATGGGATCATGTATCTAATCTTTGGCTTATAGTTTACAAAATTAGGAAAATACTGGATTGATCCAAATGGCTCCAGTGTTCATGTCAATTTTCACTTGAGGTATACGTGGAGTTACTTTTACTCAAATGCCCCTGACTGTCCACACATGCTGGCAATACTACTAGACTAGGGAAACTACCATGGTGAATAAGGAATGGTGCTTGTCCTCCAAGCCAGGACCAAATTTAGAAGGTGGTGATTTTAATAATCTATGATTGAACACCTTATAGGAGCAAAAACAAAAGACCTAATTCAAGTCTGTAGCAGGCTTTCTTTTGGGCCACCAACCAGCTCCGAAATCACGACACAGAAATTTATAATTAGGTATGAATGCTTGGCTTAAGCTTATGCTTGTCCCACTAGCTCTTATAACTTTAATTAAACTGTTTCTCTTCACCTATGCTTTGCTTTGGGACTTATTTACCTTTCGTTCTGTATGTTTTACTCTCCATGTCTTGCTGGTGGCTGCCTAGCTGGCCCCAGGTTTCTTCTTTCTCCCTTGTTCTCTCTTCTTCCTTATTCTCTCTGCCTACCAGTTCCACCTATCCCTCTACTACCTAGATACTGGCTGTTCAGTTTTTTTTTAATTAGACCAATCAGGTGCCTTAGGCAGGCAAGGTAAAAAGAGTAACACATCTTTACAAAATTAAACAAATGTAGCACATCTTTGCCTAGTTAAACAAATGCAACAACTTTACACAGAAATATTCTGCAGCATAAACAAATGTAACACATCTTTGCATAATTAAAACTAAGAGTCTACAACACAAGTCTCCTGATTTTTCAAAACCACACTTCTCTGTTTCCTCTGAAAGAATCCCAGTGTTTTCCAGTCAATATTCACGATTAGTTAACAGCTAATCGAGTTTTGTTGCTCGACTTTATTCTCACTGCAGCACAGTTACTAGGGAATCTCGCTTTCTTAGTCCTCACAGGGTGACTCATTAGGATAGGAAAGGAGTAGGGGCTTGTTTTAAGCAGTTTAGGTCGTTTATTTCCCCAGGGTGTCAACGCTCTGCTTTCTCAAGTTGTCAGCAACTCTAAGTAAAGTTTATCTTAAAGATTCAATATCTGAGCTGGGCAGTGATGGTGCACACCTTTAATACCAGCACTCTAGAAGCAGAGGCAGGAGGAGCTCCCTGAGTTTGAGGCCAGCCTGGTCTTCAGAGTTTCAGGACAGCCAGGGCTACACAGATAAACCCTCTCTCCAAAAACCAAAGGGGGGGGGGATTCAATATCCAGTTCTTGTAGTATTATGGGCCTGGCATTTCTTTCACAATTCTTGAGCTTCAACTCTTCTTTCGGGTGTCTGTTCTCCGGAGGGCCTTGCTCTAAGCACTTAATCTAAAACTTGGCTCTCCCCCCCCCCCCCCCACTTCATTGCTCTCTAGGACTTATCACTAAACTGATTCCTAGAATGGTGGGAAGAACCCTTCCAGTCCAGATCACTGATATATGCAATACTGTCACATACACATACACACACCGCAAAAGCAGACGATATTAATCAAAAACATTTTCCCTCGAACATCAAAAAGGATCCAGGAGGATGAACATAACCTCCGCTCATGTCAGATGTGCTTGGATCACCAATATATAGTCACAAGTCCGAGTGCTGTTTCTGCTTTCTCAAAGTTGACACGACAATGCTACCAGTTCTATGCTCCAGTGTGGAGTTTCGGGGACGCCCCCACGTCCCGACAGCCCCGGGTGTACCGGCACCCTCCCCGAGAAGGAGTTACTCAAGTTCCGGGCTGCAGGTGGAAAGCGACAGAGCAGGTGACCCCGACTATTTCCCAGGGAAGCTTCTCTATCCAGTTCACCGCGCAGGTGGCTTTAGGAAGCTTTATTCCAACTCTATCTGGTACTGGACACTCCTGGCTACCCACACTCGCACAATCACAGGATGATCACGTCCTGAAACAACTTTCAAAGCCGGCCTTGGGGCTCTCCGTGGCCAGCTGCCTCCGGATATCCCCGCCCCCAAATACCCTTGGCCGAGGCCACCCTCGACCTTCGCGTGTGTGGGGACTCGCAGCGGGAGCGCACGGTGGCTTCTCCACTAGCGGCTCGGGCGCTCTCACCTGCCCACCAGCAGCTGCACCTCGCGGCCAAGCCGCCGTCGCCGCCACCGGAGCGCAGACCCGGGCTAGGAAAAAACACACTACGGACTCCCGCTCCCTAGGCCCAGAGAGACAGGAAGGCGCAGGCGCAGCTCCGCGCGTCCCGCCCTCTCTTCCGGTATTTGCTGGACGCTCCGGCGAATGCGAACTGCGGCCGTCCCCGAGTGACTTTGTCTCTGCAAACTACCGAAAGTGAAAACGTTTAAAAAAGCGCATCGCAGCATCAAGGCGGCGACAGACTTTGCGACCTTCCGCTTTTTTGCCAGGTATTTCTAGAATGAATGAAGAAGTCACCCTGCTTGGCCGCTTTTCGGCCTCCGACCAATCAAAAAGCGCCTTCTTTTGTCACTCCGCCTCAATTCCCTCCTCTCTCAGCGTGCAGAACGTGGCCCCGCCCTACGGTCCCCGAGGGACGTCGGAGAGCGGGCATGCGCAGTCAGTGCAGGACGCCGGGCAGGAAGCTTCCGCCCAGACTTGGTGTCCATTTATGCAGAAGTCTAGAGTCTCCAGCTCAGTGCCGGCACTGACTGGTTAAATTCCGTTCTCTTGCCGTTATTTTTTCTATTTTGGGGATAAATCTTTTGCTCTCTCGGGCCACCCGAACTATTATGACGTTATGTTGAAGCATACTTTCAATTAGCTTTTCTCTGGCATTGTGAAAGCCACCTTTGTTTCTCAACCTTCCTCATCAAAATATTTTTCACACCTCACCGTGTAGTTTTGCGATACCATAGAAACACTACGTTTTTTTTTTTTTTCCCTGTCTATCACTACGTATCATTGGATTACAGTGGTTCGTTATCTGCCAATCGTATTCATGGCATGCCCAGCCTCCAAACAGCCCGCTTCTGCCGCCATTTTTATTTTGGTCTCTTTAAAAAGCTTTGAGGTCAGTAACGGGAACCATTTTTCTTTTGGGCAGATTCTTCCGGTTATTCCGCTACCTTGACAAGCGTTTTGCCATCATCTTAGGTCCTGGCACTGGCTTCCAGCCCCCCTTGAAGCCGGTCTCGCCATCTTGTGTTTGGGCGGTGGCTGCATTCTCAAACGCGCGAGGCGACACAGGGAAAGGGAAGTGAGCCAAAGCCTCTGAGGCTTTGCCTGCCGCCTTTTTGGTGTGAGTTTCCACATCCAGGTACTAGTCCACCAGTGACCCTGGACAGTAACAAAACATAAAAAGCCCGAACCCACCTCCCGCCACCAGCATAGGTAAGAGCATGATACTCTGGCATCTAGCAGTTCCCTCAGCTGCATTGAACTGTTAGCCCATTTTCTGTACCATTGCGTGTTTTTGTTTTGATTTCGATACTTTCCACAATCTTCCTCTTAGGCCTTTTCTCTCCGTTATTTTTTGAAAACACTCCGAGTGCTGAAAAATTGTTAAACATCAGGGTGCAAAAAAGACTGATACTTAAAATGAAAATAATGTTGAGGGAATTTCTCGCGAATAAAAGTGCCAAACGGACAGGACAGCAATGTGTATGAAATTACAGCTGTCTACGTCCATAGATGTAAAATACAGCCTTCAGAGATTTCCCCCTCGAGACAAGGTTTCTTGTGTAACAACTCTGACTGTTGTGGAACTTGCCATGTAGACCAGGCTGACGTCTAACTCAAAGAGATCCGCCTGCCTCTGCTTCCCAAGTCATGGAATTACAGGCGAGCACTACCACTGCCCGCATTCTCAGAAAATTTTAATATGTGATTTAGGGATTCTGTTTGTTCGTTCGTTCGTTCATTCATTCATTCACTCAGTCAGTGCCTTTGTTCAATACTTAACTAACTTTGTGCTATAGAAAGCAAAGAACAGTTAAAAATAAAAAAACAACCACTCAACCCTTTCTTGGGGCTCTCATTCAATTTCCTTGCCAACTACCAAGCTGGGGCCAGGAACACAGTATTCTATAGTTCTTAGCACTACTGGACAAGCAGCTTAATAGGTTCTTGCTTCTCCTATTTCTTGGGTGTTGTACGTAGCCATAATTGTAAACTAGTTGGCTGATGTTTGACTTACTATGGCCTTGTTCGGTCTGGTCATCTACCAGCCAGGTCAGCACCATCTGGGAGTTTACTTTGAATGATTAGAAGTTGCATGTTGGCACAGTGTGATGTTGACTTGGAAATTTGGGTTGTGGCTTACAGTGACTTTCTGTAGCCCCAGGTTTTCTTCTGTGTCTTCCTTTACTGAGAAATCAAAATCAGGAATTCTCAAACTTGGTTGCCCATGGCAGTCACCTGGGAGGCTTCTAAACCTGACTTGAGACTGGTTATAGACAGAAATCCAGACTCTGGGAGAAATCCAAGTGCTACTAAGGTATTTGATGGCACTGAAAGTGATGTTTATGTTTTTCATGCTGTTATGAGTAAGAGTGTGGTGTCTTCCCCCACCTCCCACCCCCAGGACTTTCCTTAAAATACTTAGGATTTTGAAGAGGAATATTAGATTGGGAGTTTGGTGAACCATCTTCCCAGTGACTAGTTACCTTGCCAGTCAACTGCCCAGTGATTGGTTACCTTACACTAGCTACCTTGCCAGTCAACTTCCCAGTGATTGGTTACGTTACACTAGTTACATTGCCAGTCAGCATCGCTGTCATTGATTACTGTGTGTCTTTTTTTACTCAGTGTATTAAGTGGGAAACATGAATGGAAGTCTCTTGTTCTCATGATTCTCGCGTGGATGTTTCCATCGTGGAGATGCATGTTTTATCACTGTGAAGGTGAACTTCATTACACTGCAGTATTGATTGTCCACAGTTTAAACGCTGCATGGGATATTGAGGGGTGGTGATAATGGGGGTGGTTAAGAAAATCAGATCTGAAACTGTCTGTCCTGGCCTCACATCCTGCCTTCTCCACTTTCCAGCTCCATGCTCTGGAATCTGACAGACATTGTCTACCCTTGTACTTCAGTTTTGTAACTTGTAAGGTAGGACTGTGTGAGAGTTAGCTAAGTTAATACCAGAAACATGCTTTTTAGAAGTACCAGGCATGAACTGGAGGGATGGCTCAGCAGTTAGGAGCCGTGTGCTGTTCTAGAGAACTTGAGTGTAGTTCCCAGCGTCTGTGCCAGGCAGTTTACAATTGCCTTTAACGCCAACTTCTTGGGGGATCCATGGTGTTTGACTTCAATAGGTGTCTACCCTCCCACGAACATACCCACACACAGGCATACTTCTATATCCATAATTAAAAATAATACATATTTTTAGAAGAAGTACCTGGCACATAGTAACAGCTATGAAGATATTAGCTGTAGATGTTTATATGATATTATAAATCAATCTTTGGATTATTAAGATTTTTGTTTACACAGTCCAATGACTGAAATTCTTTGGCTTTCCACTGTGTTCATCCATTTGAAAAAGAGGGTGCTCAAGCCGGGCGGTGGTGGCGCACGCCTTTAATCCCAGCACTTGGGAGGCAGAGGCAGGCGGATCTCTGTGAGTTCAAGACCAGCCTGGTCTACAAGAGCTAGTTCCAGGACAGGCTCCCAAACCACAGAGAAACCCTGTCTTGAAAAACCAAAAAAAAAAAAAAGAAAAAAAAAGAAAAAGAGGGTGCTCTAAATCCATTATTCCAGGCCAGGAAGATGATTTTCAAATAACTTTTTAAACGAAAAGACCTTCTCGTAAACATAGCTTTATTGAGATAAAATTGCGGTGCAAATAGCAACATCTATTTAAAGTATACAGGGAGGTATGTTCTACACATTTATGCTGGTGTATCACAGTCATATAGTTAACATAACCATCACCTTCAATAATTGGTCTGGTTCCTTGGTAATTCCTTGAGCTGCTCTTTTCTAAGCAATTGCTAACCTATATATAATATAAATAAATAAACATTTTATAGATTCTTATCTCAAAGAAGCCTTGTACCAGATGTTTTTATTCGGGGGTATGTATAGCTATTTTTAATATGATCTTTGTTATATATAGCAATATATATTTATGCTGTTATATATGTTCATAGCTCATTTCTTTTTTTTTCCTTCCATTTATTTATTTTTTTTCTTTTGTGCTGGAGATTGAAGTTAGGGCTTTGTGCTTTTTAGGCAAGTGCTTTATCACAGAGCTAAACCCACAGACTCGTCAACTTGTTTGAATTGCTGACTTATCAGGTGTGGCTACATAATCATCTGTATCATTCACTAATGGATAACCATTGGGATTTTTGTTTTCAGTGTGCTCAATTTCACGTAGTTTTGTTTTCCAGCTTATTTAAATTGAAAAAAAAACCAACTAGTTTTTAATGCTTACTATATACAATGAAACCAGGAGAGGACAGTGGCAAAACATTTTGTGTTGTTATTTTACTTGTCTTTTATATAATTTATGCCTTAACTTCTTATGAATGAAATATGCCTTTTTTAAATTCCTTATTTATTTTTATGTATGTGCATTGGTATTTTGTGAGGCTATCAGATCCTCTGGAGGTAGAGTTACAGGCAGTTGTGAGCTGCCATGTGGGTGTGGGGAATTGAACCCAGGTCCTCTGAAAGAACTGCCAGTGCTCTTAACCACTGAGCCATCTCTCCAACTCTGAAATACAACATTTTTAAAATGCAAAATATGGTGCTGGAAGTGTAGCTCAGTGGTAGAGTTCTTGCCTATCGTGCTCTGGTCCTGGGTCTAACATGAAACTGTGTGTGTGTGTGTGTGTGTGTGTGTGTGTGCATGTGTGTGTGTGTGTGTGTGTGTGTGTGTGTGTGTGTGTGTTTTAAATAAGTTTTCAGGATTGAACATTTCACTTACCAGGCAAATGCTCGACCACTGAGCTGTTATTCTAGCTACTCCTCTCCTGCACTTTAGTTTTGAAATGGAGTCTTGCTAAGTTGCCCAGGCTAACTGTGAACTTTCAATTCCTCTCTGTCAGTCTCTGGAGTAGCTAGGAACACAGGCTTTGTCCACCTGGATTATTTATTTCTAATAACTTTTAAATCGTGTGTATACATATGTGTCTCTGTGTGGGTATGTGTATATTAGTGCAGGTAGCTGTAGTGCTCGGGAGAGGGGGTTGGGTCTCCTGGAACCCGTGCTGCAGATGGTTGTGTACTGACTTATGTCCAATGAAAGAGCTACAAGAACTCTTACTGCTGAGCCATCTCTCCAGCCTCAGGATTGTTGTCTCTTGATCTGTATATGTCTAATCATTTAATCTGTCTTAAATCTTTAAAGGTTAGTATGAATATATTGCTTTGGGGATTTTGGAGAATAGTCCATCTACAACTGAGAGTCATGAGATTCTACAAAATATAGATTTGTAAAGCCAAGCCAGAGACATCCCAGAGCTCCCATTTGTCAGGAGATGGAGAATGCCGCTTATGTATTAAGGTTTAGTGTTTTTCTTAGGGAAGAATGGTCCATCAGTTGCTTTTAGTAGTACTGACACATTATGTTAGAATAAGTCAAAGCTGGCTTAAAATTGAATTTGATTTATGTTACTGTGGGGGTAATAAGAAATGCAGCTGTTAAAATATCTTGGATAGAAAAGTTAATTCACGTCACTGTTTTGATTTGTTGTCTAGAAAACATTGATGTTTTGTAATTAAAAACAGTTTAAATAGTCAGGCATAAACAGAAAATCTTTCTTGGTTTAGTATCTTGAGTTTTGATTCCCGTGGAGTTATGTAACCCCCACTGAAATCGGGATATGGACCAGGTCTATCTCTACCCACACGCTCCCACCCAGTTTCTCCAACTATCCCTTATGTACATCTGTTCTTCAACCCTTAGCAGCCAGTGAAACAATGATATATTCTCCAGTGATACAATCCTTGCATCAAAAAGATTAGATTTTAAGAAGAGTATTGATGATAATCAGAATGCCTTTTCTTTTGTTTGATTGTTTTCAGTGAAGGTGAATGGGAAACAGCAATTATCAGAATGGATTTTAGGTTCTAAAGTAAATTGCATGGTGTCCGCTTGTACGTTCTTGGGTGTATTTAAGACTAATCATTCACTGAGATTCAGGCACAGAGCCAAGTGATGACATACCACTGCTCAGAGCCCAATGACTGTCCTGTTTCACGAAGAAGAGATCCAGAGACACAGAGGAGTTGAATGGTCTCAGGCCATCCGAAAAGGCAGAAGTGAGAGTCTCAAGTCATTACTAGAGTGCATGAGGATGTCTATGTGTGCTTCTGATATCCTTATCAGATGATAAATAGATCTGTCTGTCAGCGCAGCATCCCATGCAGGGTTGACTGGCCTGAAGACTCAGCAGGAAGTGGAGACATAGGTCTTGTGTCATATGATTGGCGTGACAGCAAAGTTACAGAAAAGTAGAATCAGTAATTGGAATTGATCTTGTTACAGTGTTCCAACATCTGGTCTACATTTCATAAAGGAAAGAAAAATAGTCAGATTTTTGTTGTTTGAATGGTTCTTTTTCCATTGTTGATGCTTGTTTTGATTTGTTTTTATGAGCATACTAGGCATTCAAGGTTGCGGCACCCCACCCCAAGTCATAGGAACAGCTAATTCTTTTTTGTGCTGAGGTTTCCTTTTAACCTTTAAGTTGTCACTAGTAGGACTTTTGGTCATCTGTCACTTTTTGACTTTTACTACAGTTTGTTCCTAGGTATCAGTTTAATAACAACAGTGGTGTGTTGGTGGGCAACAGCTATGATTTCTCACGTTTTAATTACAGTTGTAGTAGCAGAAATCCTAGGGCCCTTACCGTTTTCTGTTCTCCTTCCATAGCTAGAGAGCTTTTTAGGAAGATGATAGAAGCACAATAATTTCTTCAGTGAAAATTGAAGTGGAGAGGTTAGGAGGCTAGAGTTAATATTTGGCCTTTTAAATTGAGGCAGCTGCTTTCAAAAGCTGGTCACACAGGCCAGAAATCCTGAAAGAAAGACAAATGGGGATTTCACGTTGCCCTAGATTTTCCCACAGAATAATCTAGAAGGTCACTGACTTTCTTTCTTTGAGTTTATCTCTGCTCTGTATTTAAATGACAGGAAAATCATGTGATATTGTCTAATCTGCTTCTATTCCTTCCCCAAATTAATTTCCCTAAACATCTTAGGCTGTCTGCCTCCGTGTCAGCTACACATTCAAGTACATGAGTTTTGTTGGGGTCACACGTTATCCAAGTATCCATTTTGTGAAGGAATGCTTGTGTCCAGTTTAGAGACAGTGGGCCCAGGAATGCAGAAGAGAGGACAGACGGTCGTATTTGTAAGATTTATGTTGTGCTGTAGCTTCCCTACAGGCTTATGTAAAATGTATGGTTTCCATGTACTTGGAAAATACATCTTTTTGGAGATTGTCCTGGATTTCATAACACTAGTTAACAAAATAAAAATGCCAACGACTTTAGACTTTAATAAATAGCTCTGTAGCAAGGTGGTTTTTTTTTTTTGTTGTTGTTGTTTTACATTAGTGCTTGAAACCCTAAGCACTGAGCTTTCTTTTCTTGCAGAAAAGTGGTTTGGAAATTTAAAACTTAATTCCAAGGCTAATATCCTTTTTATTCAAATGAATGTTCGAAATCAGTATTTTTAACAACAAAAGGCTACACTGAAGTGGACTAAATTTCAACTGTTGTCCATTTCATTTCTAAATTTAGATTTGCTTATTTACTTACTTGTGCTGGTTCACTGTTTTATAACTAAGGATTGAATTCAAAGACTTGAACATGTAAGGCAAACCCTGAGCTACATTCCTGGCCTCATTGTACATTATTCCCAGCATAAAACATTAGGATCTATGTATTAATCACAGCTCTCTCAACTTTGTCTGATGCATTAAGTATTCAGTATTTATTACACTGCTTGTTTCTAAACATCTGTTCAGAGTACTTTGCCTTCCATGTAAAAGATTTAATGGAGAATTTGGGATTGGAGACAATAAAGTTTCATTGGGTAAATGGGTGTAAATGTGAAATATACTAATAGCCTATAGCAACTAACTGTTAGAGGACAGTAGCATCGATTAAACAAACTCTGTTGTATATCTGTGTGATGGCTCAGCTATTAAGAAGGACCTGAAAAGACTTTGTCCCGGGGAACTTCCGGTTAGGCAGAGGAGATGCTCTGAGGACCAGGGTGGCGTGGAGTCTAGTGAGCTGAGTATGAGGTAGAAGCTTAACTGGCCGAGAGAGAAACACTTCAGTCTAAACAATCATGACGGGCTCCAAGGAGCCTGTGGTCCCGCTGTTGGACGTTGGATGATAGGGAGAGAACATCAGTTCTGTACAGTGTGGGAGGAGGTAGAAGTACCTAGAGATCCATAATCAAGGACGTTTGCCAAGGGCTGTTTGAGTGAAGTCAGTGCAGGTGTCAAGGAGGTTGGTTCTGAGAAGGAAGGTGGGCAAGGATTCTAGTCAGAGGCTTGTGATGCTGTGCAAAGCCTAGCCATTTTGAGTACTGGCTTCCCTGTCACACCCCTCTCGTAGTGGGTGGTGTTAGTTATCTAAATACTGAGAATTGAGAAAGAGATACCAAGTAGTTCTCTTAAGAGGCAGTAATTGTGGGGCACCGTCAGGATAATACTCTTTTTGGGGTTCAGAACTCTTGGCATTGACATGTGTTAGTATGTGTGGGCTGCTATCACAAAATACTTTATGTTGGGTAATATTTATTTATGTCCTGGTCAAGGTCTCTAGTCCAGGCTGTCCTCAGACTTCTAGATAGCCAAGGATGACCTCAGCCTCCAGTCCTCTTGTGTACACCTCCAAGTACATCTTCACCAGCTTTCTGTCTTTCACTGCCTAAGCTTGGTTGTCCTGGAACTCGCTCTGTAGACCAGGCTGGCCTGGAACTCACAGAGATCTGTCTGCCTCTGCCTCCCAAGTGCTAGGATTAAAGGCGTGCGCCACCACCGCCCAGCAGAAAGTATTATTTTAATGTGACCAAAGCGAGCATTCTTTTAGTTGGAGTGCACTTTTTTCTTAGTTAAAAACTCTTTCCTTATTCTATGCTTAAATAAAAAAAGCATATCAGTCTCTCATCTCTTCCTATGACTGAGTAAAGTCTCATGGCATATTACACTGTTAGCCCTTTATGTATTGCAAATAGCCAGTTTCTTCCTGTCTTACTGTGGGCCTGTTTCTCTGAGACAGAGTCTCAGGAGTGCCATTCTGGGCTGTATGTTAAGTGTGTGCTGTCTTCCAGAGCGGTGCTACTGCACTGACGTGGCATGTCATCGCTAGCATTTGGTCCTGTTACTGAGGTTATTTTTTTATTTAATGTCCTGGTGAGTATGTAGTGATTCCTTAAGGTTTTATTTCCGTTTCCTTGATAGCTAATAATGTTGATTGTGGTTTCACATGTTGACTGCCTTCTATGCTTTTGTTCAGTTCTCACTTCTGATGGGATTGTTTGATATTTTTTGATTGTTGAACTTTGAGAGTTCTTTATGACTCCTAAATATCAATTTTTTTGTTGGCTATGTGAATTGTAAATGCTTTCTCATATTTGGGAGAGAAGTTTAAATTGCTTTTTTGTTCTTACAGTGTTAATTCCAGGTTATAATAAACTACATATCCAACCTCCAAAATTGTTATTTTTTTTTTTTTTGCCTTTATACTCATGTACCCCCAAGTAGTTCGTTTTTATACTCTTTGGGTGACCTGCCTCCCAGCTACCAAGTAAATACATGGTGACTTATTCTTACTTTTGACTGTCTAGCCTTAGTTTGACTTGTTTCTAGACATTTTCCTTCCTTCCTTCCTTCCCTTCCCTTCTCCTTCCTTCCTTCCCTTCCCTTCTCCTTCCTTCCTTTCTCCCTTCCTCCCTTCCTCCCTCCCTCCCTCCTTCCTTTTTTTTTTTTTTGGTTTTTCGAGACAGGGTTTCTCCGTAGCTTTTGGTTTCTGTCCTGGAACTAGCTCTTGTAGACCAGGCTGGCCTCAAACTCACAGAGATCCACCTTCCTCTGCCTCCCGAGTGTTGGGATTAAAGGTCTGTGCCACCACCGCCCAGCTCGCTTTCTTTCTTTCTTTCTTTCTTTCTTTCTTTCTTTCTTTCTTTCTTTCCTTGTGCAAACAAAATCCCCTACTACCACAAATTATGCAGTCGAGTTTCCTGCATTTAGGGAAATCGCAGCTTTCAGCACATCTGGAGTACAGTGAATAAGCCTCATCCTGGGAAAACCACCTTGGTGATCATGGTATCTCCCCAGCCAGGACAACTTTAACAACTTAAATTATCCCTTTTTCCCTTAATTATGTTTTGCCTCTGGGCTTTTTACCTTTTTTATTCTATGTAAATGAAGGCAGAGCTTTTGTTTTGTCCCAACTATCTGGCCAGTCACAAATAAATACACAAAAGGTTATACTGATTACAGAATGCTTGGCCTATAGCTCAGGCTTAGTGCTAACTAGCTCTTATAACTTAAATTAACTCATTTCTATTAATCTACATTTTGTCACAGGGCTTGTGGCTTTACCTGTACTCTAGCATCTTGCTTCTCTTGGCTCATCTCTTTCTCGACTCCACCCCTTTTCCTCTCTGTATTTTCAGTTTGGTTTTCTCGCCTAACCTTATTCTGCCTGCTGTAGGCCAAATCAGCTTTATTAGCCAATGAGCACAATACATATTCACAGCATACAGAAAGGTTATTCCACAACAATTCTATATATCTTTCTTCTTACTCTGTGGCTGGCCCCTGGTGTCCTCCTCTCCCTTTTCCTTTCTCACTCTTTCCTCTTCTCTACAGCCTAGGTTTTTCCTCCTATTTATTCTTTTTACCTGATAGTCCCACCTATTTCTCTTTCCTGCCTTGCTATTGGCCATCCAGCTCTTTATTAGACCAATTGAGTATTTTAGGCAGGCAAAGTAACACAGCTTCACAGTTATACAAATGCAACATGAAAGAATGAAACACATCTTTGCATCATTAAACAAATAATTCACAGCATACATGAATATAATCAAATAGTCCACAGCATAAATGAATGTAATACATCTTAAGCTAATATTCCACAACACTCATATGTGCATGCACACACACATGAATATACCCACAGGAGTGTGGACACACACCACACATGAAGATTAACAATAAGATGTCAAAATAAAAAAATTGTTGCATAAATGAGTGATCATGAAAATTTATAATTTGTGTTTTCTTCTAAGAGTTTTATAGTTTTAGCTTTCACATTTAGGTATTTGATGCACTTTGAGTTAATTTTTGTATGAAGTGTGGTAGAAGGGACAAAGTTTATTGCTCTCTGTGTGTTGTCCCTCCACCAAGTGTTGAAAAATTCTTCCCCATCAAATTGTTTGACACCCTTGTTGAAAATCATGTGGCCATAAGAAAGGATCTATTTTTTGCATTCTTGATTTTAGTCAGTTGATCTGTATATATACTTGAATGCAAGTACCATGCTTTGTTGATGGTTTCAATTTTGTGTTAGGTTTTTAAATGGGGACATACAAGTCTTCTGTGTTGTCTTTCAAGATTGTTTTGTGTATGCATATGCCCTGTATTCTCATAGATATTTTAGGATATGCTTTCAATTTTATAAAGTTAGGATTTGATAGATTGCATTGAGTTGGTAGAATCAGTTTGGCGGAGAGTGGTATCTTAATAGTATTAATGTCCTAATGAGTGTAAACATGAAGTATATTCCTATTTACATAGACTTACTTTTCTTTGACTGTAGGGACTTGCTCATGCTAGGCAAGCACTCTGCCCCAGAGATAACTCAACCCATTCTTTAGTTTCTTTCAATAATGTTTTATGGTATTTAGTGTACAAATAATATATTTCTTTAATTATATTTATTTTTTTGTATCTTCTTTCTGCTATCAGAAATGCAATTGTTTCATTAATTTCACATTTAGTATTGTTCTTTACTGGCATACCAAAATACAGTGGATTTTAAATTAGTGATCCAGTTACTCCACAGCTCTCCCAAAGTTACTAATTGTAATAGGTTCTTTGTGTTTGTGTGTGTAAAAAAGAGAAGGAGACAGATGAGAGGGGGAAATAAGAGAAAGAGAAAGGAAGACTTTTCTGTATGCAGGAGCGTGTTATTTGCGAATAAAGTAGTTTGATCCCTTCCTTTTCTGGATGCCTTTTTCTCTTCTTTCTTTATTTGCTCTTCAATACAGTTTTGAATAAAAACAGCAAGAGAAGAAAGACATTGCCCTTTGCTCATCTTAGTGGGAAGAAATGATTACTCATCATGTATGATTTTAGCTGTTTTTTTTTCTCTTTTAAAGAATTTTATTATTTGTTATTGTTTGTGGTGTGTGTATGAGGGAGTGTGTGTGTGTGTGTGTGTGTGTGTGTGAGAGAGAGAGAGAGAGAGAGAGAGAGAGAGAGAGAGATCATGTGCATAACAGAATTTTTGAAGGTCAGAGGACAACTTTTAGGAGTTGGTTCTCTCCTTTTGTTGTGGATTCTGTGAATCAAATTCTCTAATTATGTGGTATTTTTGTTGATTGCTTTTCAGATGTTAAGCCACCTTTGCATTCCTGGGGTCAAATCAACTTGGTTATAAACATGTGGCGAGCAACCGAAGGGAAGCTCTCGGAGCTTGTACATTTTTCTCGTCAGTTTTTAGGTTACCATATTAGCATAATATTTTAGTTAAGGACAATTATAATGAAAATTTTAACTTATACTTATTAATGATATTTTATTAACCAGACCTTCCATATAACATCCCCCAAAGAGAGATTTTTTTATATATCTAATTATATCTTTCCTTTTTTTTGTCTCTGCAGGTTCTGTAGCTTGTTTGGAAATCAGTAAACCATGGCATCTAAGAAGTTTGCCATTAAAGTAAGTCATGCTCAGCAGCTGCTTTTTAAATGTCCCTCTCTCTCCTGTTTATGAGTTCCGTGTTAACTAAAAGTTGGAATTCTTAAGTTCATCTCTACTCTTTAAGTTTAGAGGTTTGGACATTTTAAGTTTGTTAACATCAACGTTTTAAAAAGAGATCAGTGAGATAACTAATAATTTTTAAAATTTAAGGAATTCTTTGCTTAAAATCTTTTGTGTAGGATCCTTTCTAATCATAAACTTTGTCCCTAATGCTAATATTAATCATTTATATCGCGTGTCCGTGGCATGACTTCTGAGTCTAATGTCCAAGGAGCAGCCTAAGCTGTTGTATCTGGGTGCCTGAGAGAGTGTGCCTGCTGCCTGCTGCCTGCTGAGCTTTCATTGTTAGCTTTACAGAGGAGAGTCCTCAGTGGAGGGCCTCAGTGAGGAGTTGCCTAGATTTGATTGGAGGGAAGGGGGGATTGTCTTATTTATTGATAAAGGGAGGCCCAGCCCACTATGGGCAGCTCTCTGTTCGGAGGCAGGTGGTCCTGGACTGAGAAGGTGAGGTAAGAAGTGCTGTAAGCATGAGCATGTTAGTAAGCCTGTGAGAAAGCTAATGGGTGAGCCAGCACGGGGTCCTCCATTGTTTCTGCTTCAGGCTCCTGCCTTGAGTTTCAGGCCCTGTCTGCCTGCATCCAGGGGCTGTGATCTGGGGCTGTAAGCTAAAATAAACTTCTCCTCTCCCAAGTCGCCTTTGGACAGTGTTATCACAGTATCAGAAAAGAAATAGAACAATCGGTTTCTTTCATTTTCTCTTTTAAATTTGCCTTCTCTATCCATTAATAGATCTGAGAGCTTAGGTACAGAGTGTTAAAGGGTATTGTGTGACGGAAGATCAGGGGAAGACTTGATGAATATCCTGTGTGAGATCTTGCAGAAACTTTCATGTATTTTGACTGTTCTCCTGGCCAGTTCTGTGTAGCACGGTCAGTATCTTCCATAGCAATTAAAAACCCCAAAGCCAGGCCAGTGATATGGCTCAGCAGGTAAGGGCACTTGGCACAGAGCCTGACTATCTGGGTGTGATCCTCAGTATTCCTGAGACCCACATGGTGGCAGGAGAGAACCAGTTTTTGGAAGTTGTCCTGTCACCTGCCTTGCACACACACAAGTACATATGATAATCGAAGCCATTGAAGAGAACTCTTAGAAACTGTGACGGGGAAGCTGAAGTAGCTCTTCACAGTGGGTGGCTTCGGGAGGGGGTGGCAGTCGGGAAGGACTTGGGTTTTTTAAGGGGCCGGCACCTAGGAGTTTGGCTATGTTGGACTTGATTTTTTTTCTCTCTCTTTTTCTTCTTTTTTTTTTTTGTTTTTGGGATGGTCACAAGGGTGGGGAGTGTGGGGTGGGGTGGACTGGGAAGTGAATGTGATTGAGGTGTATTACATGAAATTTCCAAATAATCAATAAAAATATTATGTTAATAAAAAAGCTCAAATTTCAGTATTTGGTTAATCAAATTGTGAAACAATGTAAAGTTGTCATTTTATCTTATTCTTAGTTATGTCAGTGCTTTTTAAGTTTGCTAACATATTTATAAATTTCATTGCTTGTAATTACTTCTGATATGCCTATGCTCTTGAGTATTTCTTTCATAAGGGTGTCTAAATGGGGAACATTCACTGTTTGTTTATAAAAATTATTTTGATCTTCATCTAGATTGCTAGAATCTAGTATGATATTAAATTGATTTTAGAATGCTAGTTTGAACATTATTTTATTGTGTAGCAAGATTCTGCCTCAAAGGACAAAAGTCAATAAAATTATCTGGTGATATGCCCCATTTAATCTCAGTTCTGAGGAGGCAGAGGCAGGTAGACATCTGTTAGTTTAAAGCCAGCCTAGTCTGCATAGTAAGACCCTGTGGCAGGGGGTAGAGGGAGGGAGAGATTGAGATTACTGGCTTAAAGTAATAATTTAAGATAATCTCACGTTTCTTTCCTGACTTTGTATCAGTGGTTTCTCCTTTTGATGTTAGCCGGGACTGCAGTTATTTAGGGACTCATGTTTAGGTGAAGCATCAAGTGTGGCATCTTCATATGGTAGCAGTCATTGTTGTTGACTTTGGTTCTCCTAGCATAGGGACTAAGTATAGAGGCCCCAGACAAGAATTCTAAGTACAGAGTAGTGTACTGTGCTCACCCTCAGAGGCCTAGACTTAAGTCTCAGCTACTGCACCTGTTGCATTCTCTTGGTCAGAACAAGGACCAGCCCAGGGGAAGGAACTTGACTCGTGAAGTAGGGAGCTCCCTGGGTGGGGAGATGTTGGACTGTACCAGAGCCCAGTTGTCACAGGCATCTCTTGACAGCCTTGAATGATCAGTCCCTTTCCTGATGGCCTAGTATGACCAACCCTTTTCCTTGTTACCTGTCCTTTGTCTCTGCTAGTTCGTAAGATTTTATTTGTCTTTGATAGTCTACTGTAGTAATAAGAGTGGCGGGGCTGCGTCCCCAACACCCCAGCCGCCTGCCAGGCTAGCTTATGCCCCGAAATAATTACACAGACACTGTATTCTTTTAAACACTGCTTGGCCCATTCTCTTCTAGGCTAATTCTCACATATTAATTTAGCCCATTTCTAATCATCTGTATGTAGCACCCCAAGGTGCGCTTACTGGGGAGATTCTAGCCTGTGTCCATCCTGGGTTGGACCTTCATCGCGTGTGTCTGCCAGGGAGCAGGGCATGGCGTCTCTGCTGAGGCGTCCGCTCCGGAGAGGAGAGCTGTCGAGACTCTGACCTCACTTCCTCTTCCTCCCAGCGTTCTGTTCTGTTTACTCCTCCCACCTATCCTCTAACCAATAAAATGGGCCAGGGCAGTTCCTTTATTAGCCAATGACCTTCCTCCATCAGTCTATAGCTTTGTTCTAGGCATAGATTTATCTGTTGTGGAATACAGTGTTACACATTCAGTTTTGGGAAATTCTCATCCATTTTTCTACCTGGGGTTGCATGTCCTAATTGACTCTGTTCTCGTTACAACTTATATTTGAAGTTTGCTGGGTAAAGTCATGATTTATTTACAGCTTGGAAGAATGAGGTTAATCTGTCGAAGACTGTGCCCTAGCAAGCTCTGTGTTCTGAAGTGAACCAGGCTCTTTGCAGAGTTCATCAGAAGCTTTCTGAGGCTCAAGAGGACACCTGATTTTGGTCAGCTGTGACATGTCAACCCTAGCGCTCTTTCATTCTGAGATGATATGCTGACCCCATGCTGTCCACATTGACATGACTGACTGACTTTGCTGCCATATTACCCCGTCTGCCAGCTGTGTCTGAAAGGCTTGGAACCCAGCTTCCAGATCAGGGGTGTTACCACAAGCGTGAATTTCAACTTGCAGACTAGCTACAGAAACTGGTCTGGCCTGTGGTGATCATGTCCTCCTGCCTTTGATCACACAGCCAAGGAACCAGTTCCCTCACTGTGGAGTTTAGCAGCTCACAAGGGCTTTCCTTTGGGTTCCTTTTCCAAATGTCTGACATAGAGCCCTTGTGAAGGACTCTGCTCTGCTCCGTGGTGCAATTGGTGCTGTCAGCGCATGCCTTCTGCAGTGCGCAGGTTCAGAAGGTGTATATGCTGCACGGCCGTTGACTTTTCCTAGCCATTAGCTCAGTGCTTCATTCAAAGAGCCCCTCCCTCTTTCTAGCCTAAATATCAGTGTTTAGTTCCAAAGTGCGTTTTCGTCAGGTGTCTCTCACTTAGCCAATCTTCCCATCTGTATTTACTGTACAGGTGAAAGAGGGACGTGCGCACCGTGGGGTGGGAAAGGCCAAGCCAAAAGGTGTCATTCAAAAAGGATAATAGCTACTTAATTTTAGTTATGATTTTTCATTTGCAAGTTTATATTTTTTCATTTTTAAAAAAATTTGATTCCACTAGTTCTTTTTTGTATGCTTCCCCAATTTTTAAAATGATTCCATTTTCTCATTTTGTCATCTTAATATAATTCTACAATAATTTATTTCATAATGGTTTTTAAGTTTTTCTATTATTTCTAATATTATATACCAAGTATGAAATAAATTGGTCAGTGAAATTGCTGCATTGTTTGTACGACATTAACTTTAATTTTTGTGTTTTGAGATGAGGCCTTCCTATATTACCCAGGCTGTCCTAAATAAAACTCATGCCTTTATTGCCTCAGCCTCAGAAATGCTGACATTATAGTCTATGTTTGTGTTTTTTGGTATTGTGTATAGCATTACACACATGGATTCATGTCTATATAGTCCCCCCCAACATACATGGGTAGAGAGATGTACTCTGAAGAGCAGTTGAGCAATTTTAACCCTATTAATTTTATTAATTTTAACTTTATTTTTGCTGGGGCCATTGGCATTCTGCTAGTTGTAGACCAGATTAACTTTCATGCCTCAGGGGTCTACTAACCTGTGGACAGTATCTATTTAGGACTCATAATGGAGTTGGGTAGGAGTTTTTTTTTTTTTAATTTTATTTTTAGTTGCAGATGCTTTATTTCCTTTTTGTTTTTTCCTCCCTTCCCTGCATCCAGGGCATCATGTCCTCTCCCCACTTTTCCCGGGCCTGGTTCTAGATCTCCTGACAGCTAAGCTTGACCCTCATAAAGTCATGGTTATTGATAGTGCTGCAGGCATTTGTTACTTTTACTGTTCTTTTCAGATAACCACCTTCTGTCTTGACCTTTTCCTGACTGCAGTAAGCTTGTTTCTGTTTCTTCAGTTTCTTATCTATGTCTTTCTTTCCTTTACTTGGGTATATCTTGGGTATATCTCTTCCTTTCCCAGGTTCTTAAGGCAGAAGCCTAACCCTTTGCCATCAAACCTTTCTTTTCTTTTGTGTGTATTTAAAGCTAGACAGTTCTGTCAAAGCATGTCCTACTTAATTGTGTCCTTCACAGTATGCAACTAAATTGGGGATTTGGTCAAACAATTCATAAATTTCCTTATGATATATGTTTCAGTATATTGGCTATCGTA